ACTTGTGTGTGTGTGTGTGTGTGTGTGTGTATGTGTGTGTGTGTGTTTGTTTGTGTGTGTGTGTGTTTGTGTGTGTGTGTTTGTGTATGTAAACCTCTTACTAGAATGTAGCCTACTTGTCATACATAAAAAGGTATAACACTTTTTGCTTATCGACAATAGCACGGATTCGATTTGATGTGATTTGATAGATAAACAGATAGATAGATAGAAAGAAACTCTTTTAAAAAAACCATTTTCATTTTATTTCAAAGCACTTCCCATGATTGAACAATATAAGCAAAACAACAACCACCATTTGCATATATAAATAATCAATGTACTTTGAAGTAAACACAAGACAAGCAGTCCCAGAGCCAAAAAGCTAGCTCACTGTGCAAGTAGATCAGCATTACAAAATATGTAGCCTACCATTTAATAATTCCGCATTCGTAATACATTCGAATCTGAAAAATCTTGAAATTCCAGCACCAGACATTTGGAACATATTCTAAGAAAATTTTGAGAGTACATCATCGGGTCTGTTGCTGAATAGGCAAATTAGAAGACCATAATAATTATGAGCCCTACTATATTCATAACCAGATCTTACATTTTAAGACGAAGATCCGATTGTAAGAACAAGTTTGTGTCCCAAAATCAATATAAGCAGAAAAATAGTCTCTGGTTAACTGACATCTTCCTAAGTAGCAGCATGCTCCTTACAACAATAATTATAAAGATCTTATGCATCACAGTTTCAAAATCAGTCTTATAGGCCTACTTAACTTGTATATGCTGTAGCCCTACTGCATTTATACCAATACAAGTTAGACAAAATACCAGTGAAATTCAAGAAGTAAACCAACGGCACTTATATAAGTGACTTATATGACCTTATTGTGTTGCAAGTGTCATTTAACTCTTACTAAAGCTAAACAAAGTAAGCCAAGAAACTCCTCAAACATCTCAAGGTAAAACAAGGACCATGTCACCTAAACTGCTGCCTAGCATGGCACAAATTGGGATAAAGGCAAACCCAAAATGTTTAACACTGAGCAAAAAATAGCATCAGCAAAGCAAAAAAGTATAAAACTAGTTTGGCTCAAGAAAAGTGACACACAACAGGCCTGCCACATCTTCACTTCTCACCAGATTTTTGTAAAGGCAAACATGCTATTGTATAAAAACAATACAGTAACAATAACAATAATGACAATTTTAAAAAATAAATAAATAAAAATCATCATCATCATCATCCAGTGCCAGATCTGCGACAGATATTGGCGATCATGGTTCTCCATTCATTCCTTTGCTCGGATACTCTAAAAAAAGCAACGTTTCCATGATCTTTCCCTGTTACCCATTTGTTTAGGTTCCCTAAGTAGGTTGTTCTGGGCCTACCCCAGCCTCATTTGCCTTCAATTTTGCCAGTGAGAGCTAGATGTTCAAGAACCTTATGTCTATTCAGGTGTGCCAAAAACTGCATTTATCGTTTCCTGATTGTTTTTAACATTGAGCGTCCCACGTGGGCTTCATCAAGCACTACCTCATTTGATTTCTTTTCCTTCCACGATACTCTTAGCAGTCTCCCAAGAAACCACATTTCTGTAGCTTCTATTTCATTTTCTCTGTCTTTAGTGATTGTCCAGCATTCACAGCCATAAAAGGGTTGACCATACATAGTATTTCAGAACTTTCATTTTGGTCGTCATTGAGATGTTTCTATTTTTCAGGACTGAGCTCATTTTATTGAAACCAGCCTTAGCCATTGTAGTTCTCCTTTTTATTTCTGTGGAACATTTGGCGTCAGATGTTATCATATATCCGAGATATTTAAACTGTTGGACTTGTTTGATCTTTTCACCTTTGCTAATGAGATTACAACTAGGATTTGCTGCTTTTTTTGGACATTACCATTCATTCTCTTTTCTTTAAATTCAACAATAATCCTTTATGTTCACTTTCTGCTACAACAGTATCTAGAAGCAATTGAAAGTCCTTTTCTGAGTCTGCTATTAAAACTGTGTCATCTGCATACCTGATGTTATTAATATTTTCTCAATTTACTTTGAGACAGTTATAATAAAATAATAATAATTTGTCCGTCAATGTTTTTAATGATAACAAATGCATATGCAGAGGAAAACATTTCTTCAGCAAAATAGAAAAAATAAGGAGATGACTTGTGGTTTCTGCTATGGTCACTAAAACCCGTTTTGGCAGAGATGAGTTTGCCCATTTTGAGCATTCACAAAGAGGCTGACAGTGACAGTTTATTATTTACCAACAAATAGGAACCGAACCTAGAGATATGCACAGATCTTATTTCACATACATGTAATTAATGTAACCGTAATAAGCAACCAAAATCAAAACACCATGTCTGCATCTACAGAAAAACAAAAACCAAAGCTTACTATAACATTATTAATATAAATAATATAATTATTGGGCAAATTTTAATATGAAATATGGTATGTGAATAACATCATTAAAATTATACAAAAATTTCTCTTACATAAATTGAACAAATGAGATTACTCAATTCACAAAAGAGCCATGCACTCCAAGAGAGTCTGCATCACTACACAAGTAGGCCCTATCAATCATAGTCATCATACACATACAGAATAAAACACAAAGAGAATGCTCAATTTGAAGAATGATTGCAAAAGGAGATACATTAACAGTTACATTGTTAAAATAGCCACTATTTTCTTCAACTTAAGCTTTGTTGAGCACGCCAAGCATTCATACCACAACAGGAACTTTTTTTAACGTAAGGTAGCTTTGATTTGGACACGATGATAAGTAGGCGTCTTTCTTTTCTCAATGTCTTGTATGAGTTGAGCAAGCAATGCAGTAAATATGAGTAAAAGATTCTCATGTGCACCTCCGGGTAAACACTTCCAACAGCAGATTAACGAATGGTGCAACCACACAGAAACTCTAAACTAAAGACATCAGTGTGGACAAAAAAAATCAAAACAAATTTGAGAAAAGGAGTGAGCACCAACTTTCATATATTTTTGCCCTCCTTTCTATTGACAACCATTCAGAACACTAGCTCTAAAATAATATTCGGGGACAAAAAAAGTTAAACTCAAAATAATAAAACATTTCTATTGCATTCCCCAATAGTCTGCATCTGGTCTTGAGATTTATTGGACACAGTGAATCTTATTCTTAAACACTTGACTCCCAAGAGAAATTTGGTCAGTGTCTAACTTGTAGAAATCATATGTAACATAAACCAGTCATTTTAACCCAATCCATACGTTGTGTTTTACTATCGTATCCATACGATGTGGGGAACTCTGTGCCACCACTTTCCAAAGAGGAAATTTACTCGTTAATCCGATCTGTACACTTTGCATAGCAGTCGGTCAAAATGAACTTTTGAGAAATACTGAAATTTTCAAAGAGACCTTCGTACTAGAAGTATTCTAAAATGTGAAGAATACAACCCCGGGGGTACAAAATGACCCCGGGGGTACAAAATGACCCCGGGGGTACAAAATGACCCCAGAGCGTATGGATAGGGTTAAAAGCTAGAATGCAAAAAGCCAAAAACCCAACCCTGTCTTAATCAAACAATTCACATGAGATTCATGCAGTTTGAGTTAAACCATTACAAATTACACAAATACACATGTCAGCTGTAAGTTGCGTAGGTTCTAAAACTACTATATATTCAAATCCCAATAAAGTTGAAAGTACTTCAGGATAATTAAATAAACAAGGGACTTGACTGCAGCTGTTGATAAGAGTAAAAAGAGAATTAAATGTGTAAAAAGTCTTCTAACACGCATTAGGGAAAAAAACTTGTGTTTCCTATAAAAGAAAAGCCAAAAAGTAGAAAGTAAAACATCCCAAACATAATTCGTTTGGTCAAAATGGTAACACCTGCACCACTGATACTGATAGGTCAGCACTTGGCATATTACACGCTCAATAGGAAGCAAAAAGCAAGTGTACTATATTTGACATTTAGCGCATGGAAATCAGTACCAAAAAATTTCAGAAAAAGAATCTCATCTCATATCACATAGTTTTAAATAGGTATAAGTTCATGTCCATCATCAATAACGAAACAATGCTGGAGTTGTAGTCTCTAGTTCACAGGTCAAAGTGTAGAGTTAACCCTCGCTTAGCTGGTGTAAGTTTTCAGCAGATGACGCGGTTGGTCCGTCTGAAACAACAAAAATAAGAATACAGATCAATGGGTGAATCCTACAAAAGAAATACACCACTCATTTACAATATAATTCACATAAAACACAAAGAACCACAAATATGAATGCTTATTACAAAGCAGAGAGCAAGGATTCATCATAAATCTTACAATGGTTACGGGTTGTTGTTTTTTCTGTATCTCTTAATTAACATCAACATACAAATACAGTCAAGTCCCTTGTTTATTTAACTATCCTGAAGTACTTTCAACAGCTCCGTGACAAAACATGTAAAGCATTAGACTTTAAAACCTTGATGGCCTGTGTGGTATTTTGATTCGTTGGTCTGTTTTTTAACAATTTTTTATCTCTTTTTTGGGGGGTCACCACTGAATCTTAACACATTTTGTAATAAAACATTTCTTGCTTATGAAACAAATATATTCTAGTCCTAGAATGTAGCTTTGGAGGTCAAATTTTAAAAAGCACGGACCACAAAATCCCTCAGAAAATGGCCCATTATGCTGGAAAAACTTTGATGATGGAGCTTTTCAAGTATAAATTCTTCAGCATGCCAATGCTCCACGAGTCACACCTTCATGAATGGACACCTGCTTGTTAAAACTAAAGCTAATGCTGGATGGGTTAGTGGAGAGCTTAGGCAAAAGCTGTGATGATATAAAGGGCATACTAGTCGTGTTATGGCGCATTTTAAAGCTGAAAAGTATTGCAAACTTTTCATGTTGAACATCATGTCAGCTTCAATCTGAAGATTGTGTTATCCATTTCCTCTGAATCAACACAAGACTGTTGAGAAAATATATCAAACCTCAAACTGAAATTCACAGCATCAACTCCACATTCATCATCATGTAAAAGGGAATGAAAACAATCAAATTAATAAAGTCATACTAAATCCAACATAATTCTATTATAGTAGGCCTACAAACACATACAACACATACACACACACAAGCACTGTGTGCGTATATGTTACAGTAAGAATCCGTACCTAGTGAATACACGTAATCCCTGTTTCACTCAGGGGTTTCATGTAATCACTGAAATTTCTAGTGATTACGCGAAATCCCTAAAACTACATCTATCATTTTCCGTGTTCTTACTGTTGAGCATTCTGTGAATTCACCTACTAAAAGCCCCGCCACTGTACAGTGACCCAGTTTGGTGTGCTTACTATGAACCACAAATACTCGTAGCTATAAGTGTGCTTGTTTTAAACGACCAATGTGTTATTGGTGTGCTTGCTATAAGGTCGTCTCTCTTCATTATGATGAGAAGATAAAATGCTGTGGGCTCGAAACAAAAACGAATTTCCCCGCGTTTCTCAGTTTACTGATACACGATGGAATCAAAGTCTCAAAACCCAAATAACCGTTTATATCAGATATTTACTCCAAGTAGTTGATAAACTTTTATAAAACTGACACAAAATGATAAGATGGGAAATGGATCAATGGCAAAGATCTGCAAACTTTAGCAAATCGTTTGCATTGCATACCCAAGAAACACGATAAACTTTTAAAAATGGAATGATTCTTTGTTATCTATTTTCTTTCACATGGGTATACTCAAGATACTGACTCTCTACGACCACTGACCTTGAAGCCCATGCTTGCACTCATCATTCGGCTGAATAATGGTGTACACAAACGTAATGTAAAGAAAGGGGTTCTTTGTATTAATGAAACCAATGTGTATTCCAAAGGCCGCTCCCGATTCAAGGTTTATCTGAAGGATAAACCCACCAAGGAAGGATTCAAACTTAGTGAAGTGTGCAAGGGAAAATCAGGGTAAGTCTATTCCCAAGAGAGGCACTGTGTCAAAAGATGAATCAGCAATAGCCCGTAGATCTAAGTGTAATTGTAAGTTTGATGATGCCACTCTTAAAAAGGGCCACAGATCCTATATCGATCTCTCCTTATTTGCAAAATTCTGATAAGTCAAGTCGGTCTATTTTCTAAAGAAAATTTTTATCTTTCGGTAAGCGAAGAAAAAAACAACCCTTCAGAGATTCAAAAGTTTCATATTCTGAAAATTTTTAGCTTTGCAGACGTATTCCATGCGGCAATTCGTTGTTTCGCTTTTTTTTAAAAATAAAGCACTTTCAAAAGTTTTAGGTTAGAAGGCTCTGAAAGGGGAGCGGAAAACTAAGCAGATTTCGGAAGTGTATTAATCAGCCCTGCTGTTCAATAGGTGAAGGTGTTTTGATTCAGGTCCCACTCAACATACTACTCAGTGCAACAAACAGCCCCTTGGTTGAGTGTGATCATGGCATCATAAACACGAAAGGGTATTTATTGGTACCTTTTCGATAAAAACGAAACTTGAATCTCTTTATGCCATCTTGAGTGAGCGAAACAAAAAGATGAAGAGGCCAACTGGCTCGACTGTAATTGGTTCTATAGGACGAACAAACAAAATATAACGCTTGCTCATTGGCTGCGATGCCTTAATGGAAATCATTTTCTTCCTGGACTTAATGCGATTTAGACATGTTTGCTTTTTCGGTGAATTGCCTGATTTAGTCGGGTCTGAAAGTGGAACTATCAGTGGGGCAAATGCATGTGCCCAAATGGGGCCGAGGAAGATGACTCTTTTTCTCCAAAACTGAACTTAACAGATATTTCAATTAGACTTCATTATTACATGTTCCTTCCAAATGAGAAAAACTTCTTGTACCCTGAGCAGAGTCTTTGGAGAGCCACCTTGATTACCTTTGAACCAGACTATAGTGCCGAAGGCTTCTCTGTCCACTCAGTGACGTTGTATGTTCATGAGTTGGTTATTCTGTTCCCCTTTCTTCTCTCCTACACTGCTCTTTGCAAAATGACAATTTCAAGACCAGACTTGTTTTGTAGCTTTACCATTCCCGATTCCTTTTCTTTGTTGTGGTTTGAAGATAATCATGGGGCCTATATGTTTGGTTGAACGGTTAGGGAGAAACTGTACCAAAGAAAACACAGATGTCAGGAACATGCAGGAAAACAGGATTGACAAGCTCGTAGAATTGTTTGTAGGAGCACAGAAAAACAATTATCTATTTTGACTGAAGAAGTATCTGTTATCGAACTGACTATTTAAGCAATTAACTTTTAAATATACTACACATGTCTGATCAGTGATTACGTGTAATTACTGTCACAATTTTTTAGGAATTTCTCGTAATTCCTGATTATTTCAGTGATTATGTGAAATCTCTGAGTGAAACAGGGATTACGCGTTTTAGCTGAAATATTCTGTGATTATGCGTATTCACTAGATACGTGTTCTTACTGTAACATATATATATACATGGTTTACAGGTGTTGTGTTTAAAATTAAAATAAACCCTTAAAATATACGGTTTTGAAAAAAAGTAGATAAAACCTTTTAAGTTGTTCACCAGTACTTTACAAAGTACATGTATTCCCAAACGAGGAACTTAAAAAAGTCGACCATGACTGTACCGGTATTTAAGTTTCAAATCCCACCAGGAACAGCCTTGTGATACTGAAATTTTCCTTCCTTAAAATGAAGTTTCCTAAATTTACCTCGGCCTGCCCAAAGAGAAAATAATATTCACAAAAACATTGACTTGATACAAAAGCAACAGAATTCTAATGCTGAAAAAAGAAAAAGAACAAAATCATCCGTCAACCAACGAAAATTACTTAAGACAACAAGTACTTTAAACCATGACAACTTAAGTTGAACGAGCCTTTGATTCAGAGCATGCCTCTCTCCATCAAAAGCAAAACAAAGGACATAATCATGACATAAACAGATGCAGATTTCAGGTAACCTTTCAACACAAAATGTACGCCTACATTTCTCGTACTCGGAATCTGAACTGAGATTATGAGCTTCTGGCTCTGACAATACATCTAAAATGTACAACCAAACAAATTACAGCAAAACTTCCATACCACTTGCTGGATACTTGTCCAGGGCCCTACCTTTACATAATTTTACACAATCAAAGCTGCCTGGATCTATTTGAAAAGCATGGAAATCGCAAGACAGTTCTATCTTAAACAATCTGATCACCAAATTGAGTAAATAAATTTATAACAGCAAACTGCAATGACAAAGAAATCCATTTATTTTTGCTAACCCAACATAGGCGTCCCCTTACAAATCTGCAACTACATCCTCTCCCCTCCCCCCTTAAAAAAAAGTTAATTAATTAAATACATACATAAATAAAAAATTGTAAAAAGTATAAAAAAAAGGTTGTGTTGCAGAAAAAGAGGATGAATGTCACCATCACTCAAATTGGTATTCCCACATGAGAAACTACCATAAGTAAGGGACATATTATATCTTATTCTAAATTATGCAACTTTCTTAGCAGAATAACGAAACACCTTACACTTCAGGAAACATATATGTGTCACGACATGTTGGAATCAGGCACTCATCATTTTTGAGGGACATGGGGTTATTGGTATCATTTTAAAGCCTGTTCATTTGCCTTCTTTTTGGTGAAAAAAATATCCATCTTTGTTGAATTGAATTCAAAATATTTGCGATTGAAGGAGGTCAGGGTCGCCTGGTTTCAGAGGCAAAATTAGCGAGAAAATGGCCACCAAAGTTTGGTAACTTTTACAGCCTGAGAGTCCTTGGAAACTAAAAATTTACATTTTTTCATGAGTTTTTAAATGGACACAAAAGGTGTAGAGCCCAAAAAAAAGAAAATTAGAAAAAAATTGACCATCCGCCCCAAAAATGCTGATTTCTTTGATTTCATTATTTTGACGAGTGCCTGATTTCACCACGAAACCTCACATATTATAAAAAGACAAAAAACAGAAGTATTCATAAACCTTTTCTTTTTGAAAAGGAAAAAAATCTGGAACAAAGGAAAAATTCTGAGAGTATTCATTTCCGAGGTATGAAAACTTTGTTCATGGTTTATTGAGGTGAAATATTCCCATGCATTTTTATTAACTCGTTACTAAAACTTGGCTCTGATCATATCATCTTCAACCTCAACTCCAGGTTAACATCAACTGTCATTTTTCCTTTTCTTTCTGTTGTCCCCTCCCCCTCCACTATGTCTCAAAGGCTGTCAACTACAGGCTGTTTAAACCCATAGAAGATTAAACCTTTAGCATATGGCATATCTCCACACCAAGGCACAGTGTCCATCTTCTTCGGGGCAACTACATATTGTTTCAATGGCTTTTTGATTACTCATCATCATCACACTGACCAGAGTTTCTTTAGTATCAGACGAGGATTCATTTTGATTCTTTCCTTTCACCTGCTTAAGTATCTTACTACTTTGCTTCCAGCTTTATTTACATGTTCTTAATTATTTCTCCTCATACTAACCAAGTAAAGGAGACTATAACTCAAGCAACAACTTACAGTGGATTATTGTTCAAACAGCAACTTTGCTGTCTGGCCATTAAAATAATTCATTGATAACTTAAGCTACCCACAGAGCAAAGTGTTAACATGCTTGAAAAAAAAATGTTCATACGAGCAAAGGATAAGCACCTTACCTTAACCCTAACTTATTTCTTCACCCTTTTTCTAATTTACTATAGGCGATGACCGAGAAAACCAAACCCCAGTCAGAGACCACTCAAACTAAGATCCGACAATAGACAACAACACCAAGATGTTGAGGTTGACTGCATCAACTGTTACAAAATCTCAAATGCAAATTGAAATGAACTTTACACAGGTAAAAAAAAACAAGACCACTGACTCCCTCAAACTTCCCTCCATCATTTGTCCACAGACAGGCAATCGCTATAGTAAGGGTGGGCCTGAATCCATATCATAAGCTCACAACAGAAGACAAATTCTTCACCATTGCTTACATGGACTACAGCCAGTACATGGAAAGCTATTCCACTGTAACAGATTTTGCTAGGTTGCGTGGACAGTCCACCTGAGATTGGAAATAGCAGAAAGGTTTGTGAGACATTACAAATCAATATTTTAAAAACATCGGAGAAAAATATATATGTTTCTACAATTGTCAAACTATCTTTCCTTTTTTTTACAAAACAGGTTAGAAAACAAACCAAGTAAACTTACGAAACAATGTTTCACTCTAACTAAAATGTTACCAGTGTAAAGAATTAAACAAAAGCAATTTTCCCACAAACAGTGAGTGCTTATATCACACCCAAACTGTCTTAAAATTGTCCACAGCAAGCATTAATTAATAAAGGTATGGGTTCCGACACAAGTAACTTACCCTTTATCTTGCCAAAAAAATAGAATTGTTTGTTGCTTCACCTTGTTCATTTGATTGTAATTCACCAAGTAAAAAATATAATTGTATTTAGAATCTTTTGTATGCTGTGTTGTGTGAATTCACTTAAGTTCCATCACTCTTGAAAAACAACCTGAGCCAACCACTGATATATACAGTGGAGTTCGCTTAAACCAAACACTGTTCATCTGAAAACAGTGGTAAACAGGAAGAAAATAAAATCCCTGATTTTTTTCCCTTCTATTTGAACAACCTTTCTAACCAAAAAATACAGCTAATCCAAAGGAATTTCCATTGTATATCACCTCTAGACATAAAGAGCAAAATGGTCTAGCTCTTCTGTTCTCCTCAATTTTTCACTTTTAAAAAGAAATGATCTCCGCAAACTGTGAACAGATTTTTTTGGGGTGACAAAATGCATGATATGTCCATTATAATAATTATATGTCTATATCTTCATTTATGTTCGACCTTCAAAGGTGATCGAATAAAACAATCTAAAGATGCGAATGGCAGGATAAAGGTTAATAAGAAACATGTGATAAAACCATGCTTCCTTTCGGTGGCTAACAGTATGGACATGGTTAGTAACAAACCACATGTTATGTACCTCTAGTGCGAAAAAACAATACTTAGAAAAAAAACCAAAAGGACATGAGTGATCAGGCAAGTGGGCACATGCGTGTGAAAAAGAAACATCATATTTTACAACACGTTCTCAGACCAAAGTATCTACTCACACCAGAGGAACCACGTTCTAACACATCTACAAAATATATATTATAATATATCCAGTACAATGCTAAAAGGATAGTTGTCACAGCATCAAAAGAGCAAAAATTTAAATAGCATATGACAATGTAGATCTGAATAAGACTACCATAAAAATATGATACGATTAAAGAAGCACCTACGAGACAAAGCTTATAAAAGTTCAGAGCAACAATTACCGCAATATTTCGTTTAAACTTAAAATGACTCTACAGTCTACAAAGAAAAAGAAAAACGCTATTGCATGTACAAGATACATGGCACTAAAACATAATCACCATGAAATTTTGTTCTGAATCCTAGTGATGCTTTAAGGCCTGTGAGTATATTGGAGTTAAAACAAGGATCTAAACTGTAAGAAAAGTCTTGTGATTAAGTTTTCCCATCCTCATCTCCTAAGTAGTGAAGAACAGCGGGCTAGGAGGGGTCCAAAGAGAAGTATGGTGTGATATGAGTTTAACATCCCTTTAAATACAGTAAGGTTATCAAAGAGGAGGGACCTCTTAATCAAACGTTCATCTGTATATAAATATTGATGGTTGACTTAAGTTTATTTCAGGTTTACTCTCCAAAAGCTGCGACCCGTGACTGCATCTCGCTTTCTCTATTAATATGAGGAAATCAAAATAGAATGTATGAAGTTGCAAGTCATTAGATTTTTTTTTGAAGGGGGAAAGAAAACTCAACTGATCAATGAGTTGATTGGGCATGAATCGATGCGCCTGAAGGCATTGTTATATCAAGTTGAAGAAGTAAAAGAATAAAGAAGATTTTAGCACACTTCGTTGTGGTACTACATAATCTACAACTATAAATGAGCTGGTCTTCATGGTAGAGTCATGAGTGAATTTTTATTTAACTGACATATGTGCAATGACTGCACTAAAGGTGGGATACCTTTCACGAGGTGAGAGAAAAGTATCTCTAAGAGAAGATGGGAGGATTTAAGATAGTTAATTAATCATGACCAAAAGAAATAAAGTATAAGTGCCTAAGTAAAAAGTTCATAACTTCAAATTCACAGCTTTTAGCCCTCATTTAGCAACCATAAAGTCTTTAAACCCGGAGTTTTTTCCACCGTTTCCCTGAGTTTTTTTCAACAGTCACCTAAACCTGTTGCACTATGTCTCATTATAACCCCAAAAGCTTGCCCCCCAACTTCTAAATCTAAATGACGGAAACAAATGCTCAGTCATTACTAAAGAGCTCGGTTCGGGAATAGTTCAGAAAAACAAGCAAAAACTAGCACCAAATCAAATGAAACAGTTGTCACAGTATCGGACGCTCCCAGCGGCTGATGGGGAACGGGGTTATTGCAGCCGGACGCTACCAGCGTCCTATGGGTTTTAAGAGATAACAGAATTTGACAATATAGACCTCCTACTTGAGAAAAACTCTTTTTGCTTATATAAATAGAGAGTTATTATCAATATTACAAATTACCAAGTACGCAGTAAAAATGCAATTCAATATTCACTTTTTCTCCTTCAGAGCTTTTTTCTTCATTAAGTACCAGTTGGAAGCTCTCAAAATCCTAACCATGATGCAGTGTACAACCATCCTTTCAGACATATGCTGCTCCCATATATATATATATATACATACTCAGAGAGTCAAACAAAGAGATGTCATCAATGACAAAATGAATACAATAATATACTTCCCGCACAACCCGCAGAAAGAAAATGGAATTGGATCTACAAGTATTCATAGAGGCGGAGAGTGCAGGAGGGGTACAGCACAAAGCACAATCCACTGCATCCAGCGACCCGCAGTGTGCCACTGTGACCACTACTGATGGTGACATAAAATATTTAACTTAAACAAATGCTTAATATGTCTCAGGTTTAAAAAAAGAGCCAATGCTAGACATTAGGACCAAATATGTCACAATTGCAAATTATTTCCATTATCACCGTCATCATTACTTAAAATATCATTATCCTTATCATTATCCTTATCATTGTCATTATTATGTTCACTATTGCTACTAAAAAGATTGGATAGAGTTTGTAACAAATCATATCGAACAAAAGAGGGCACATAACAACAAAAAAAGAAAACGGGGCGGGGATGGGCATGCATGTTTCAAAAACAGGGACTCATAAGAAAATGGGATCATTCACAACACTTGCACCATGCAGGCAATATTTCAGGGAGACCTGCCAAATAAAGTAAGGCAATCAGACATTGTGGACATTGTAGGGAAATGCTGAAAAGAAAAGAGAGAAGCCCGCAAGCTGTGCACATCCAAAAATGGAAGTGGAGCCTTTAAATGTTCAAAATGTGGTAGAGTTTTCTCTGCCAGAATAGGTCTCATCTTCGACTATCAGAACAAAAAAATGTTGATAGTAACAGGGACATAATGTGTATATATATATATACACACAAAGTCTGAAAAAATTCTGTATTTGCCAATATTCACAACATTTTAGGTACTGTAAATCTTTCTGAATTAAAAGAATATTTTTCTCCACTAATTCACAGACACAATGGCTTAGACTTAGAGATAAAAGTAGGACAGAACAAGTCAGCATAATTAAACAATGGATACAGCTTGGGCACCCAGACCAAAACTTTTCTACACAATGAATCATGGAATGGGCAATAGGATTACTCGTCAAATAATGTAGAAGTGACAGGGACACAAAGTGCAAGAGACTGAGCAGACCAGCATCATACCACATAAAGCCAGTTTACGCACAATCACAGGAGTACTTCAGCATGCTTAATCACACAAAGTAATCCAAAGGCTCGTTAGTACATTAATCAAGATGTTCGGGATGGGTGGGTAGGGCAAACGGGCGCCATAAACATGTGTAAGAGACATATCATTAAGTGATTAAGGAAGCCAGCAGCATCAGCGCAGATCGGAGCCAGCTTACGTCACTCTGACGCATTACGGCGAGGTGGTAGGCCTACAGCTGCATGGGGATGACAGGGAGCACACCCTGCCGGCAGTCCACACAGCTGGGCACACCCACAAACCTCGGCACAGCGGTCTGAGTATCTGGGTCATTATCGTTGCCAACCGCAACCAGGTCACCCTAGATGTACAAGCAAACATAAGCTTTCTTCCCCATCTAAACGGCCCACAGAGCTGGCACTTATCAGCGACACTAAACCGAGCAGATTACAGTTGATTCCCTCTTTCGTATCACATGAGTACAGGGGTCACCAAGATACAACCCACTGGCTAAATCATGCCCACTAGGTCAGTTTGAGTGGCCTTTCCCCCATGTGGAACAAAAATTTGGGAGACTCCCTCTTATCCCATCTATCCACCAACAGAGGATAGAAACACCTAAATTGAATGGAGAGAGAAAATATGATGTAAGGTGCCTAAATATGGTTTAAGGTGCCATTCCCAATTGATCCCATGTCCAGCAGTCAAATCATTAGACCATAGTCTTAGAAAAGAGCTATATTGTATGACTTCAAGCATGTCGCATTAGAATATCGCAGCCCAGTACTATACATCTTTGAGGTTTCCATGTAAGTATTTGTGTTCAGATCTCATTGGCCAAACGTCTGTGAATCCTGAAGCAAAAATGTTCTGCATGATACATATGCATTCATACACACACACACACACACACACACACACACACACACACACACACAAACACAAACACACACACACACACATACACACTGACACACACACACACACACACACACACAGATATACTCACAACAAAAATTAAATGTAAAAAAACCATAACACAGATAGATGTACATAGGACCATACAGATTCATAACATACAAGAAGTGTCCTAGATACACACCATTCCCAATGTGGCTGTTCATGTTGCACAAAGTTAACTTATTGCAAAAACCATGGTTCAAAAATCAAACAGAAAGTTGTAATTGATGTGGTTTATGAGGCATTCTGTCAAAACTGATAAAACAGTAATTTAGAGGAAAACTTGTACCAAGTACTAACTCTTTTACACTGTAAATTTTGAAAGTGTTTATCATACTCGACAGACTGACGCCACCATAAAAAGTGGATACAACGCCTTTATTTAAGCCTTATAGAGCCAGTCATAACTTATGATGCAATCTTTAGAAACAAAAATGTACACAACAGTATGCCCCATGGTTCACATCATGGTGAGTCACAACAAGGAGATTCCTAACATAGTCTGCTCTGAGGAAAATAAACCTTAGTTTTTTGTTTTGCACTTTCGAAATTCTATGCTATTGTCATGAAAAGTTTTAGAACTGCTGAGATGTTATAAGCCCTTATATAATGTATATAAAAAACACCTTCAGGACTAGTTGATCAAATTTTAGTATGCGCTACGCCTTACTAATCTAATCTAAGCGTTCTACAATATTTCAGTAATTAATAGCACTGAGGCATACATCGCAGAGTGAGGATTCAAAAGTTTGCATTCCACATCATCTAAAAACTGAAGCAAAAGATTGTTAGCTGCATCATGATGGATTTAAAGTGAACAAATATTATACAGCAACATTTTTATTTCATGACTGAATGACTGAATGGAAAAACAAAAAAAGACAAAGACTTATTAATTAAAGTCATAACAGCATCAAACAGAGCTTGACAATTCTATATGAAGACCCTGTCCAGCCTCAGAATACTGCCAAAATATTAAATCTACACTGCCGAAAATAGTAAAAGCACTTTACGAAAAACAAGTGCTTTTTTCTTTGCAACAGACTACAATAGGGCCGAACGGTGAATAAGACAAACCAAGCATACACTGACACTGTTCAGGAGTATTAGGCTTTGTGCATTTGTTGTTTCTTTAAACCACATATCTATTTAAAGGCATTCGTCTAAAAACAGTTATCCTGTCAGAAAATACAGAAAAGACTAAACGAAATGTGAATAACAGAAGCATCCTGAAACTGTACTTACAAAATACCATCTCATAGTATAACTGCCACCCAGTATGTTGTATGCATATGAGGATACTCAGAAGGGGGGGGGGTGATTCTGTTGCTGGTAAATTTAATAACAAGCACTTCCCACCCAATGTGAAGCCATGACCCTCTACTTTCTGTGGCCATGTATTATCATGCAAACGGATCTTCAAAAAAGACCAAATAGCAGAGAGAAAGAAGCCTCTTACTGTACCTAATATAAGGCGGTAAAGGTGTTAACACTTAGAAATGGGGAAGTGTGTAATATCAATCCTCTCAAGAAAAGAGGTGGCAATAACCCCGAAATGAAGGGAAAAGCAAATCAATGTCAGTAGATTTTACTTTAAAAGAAATGAAAGGGGGGGGGGGGATTTAAAAGGTATCACACCTATTACCAGCATTTCTGAATATCAGTATAATAAAATTACATACTAAATGGGGGCTATCCTAAATGTTTCATCACTGTGAGCTAAATAATGCTCAAAATCTAAATCAATGAGTGTTGAAAATGATCAGAAGTCTTGAAACCCTCCCAAAGCAGCTGTGCATGGAGACAGAATACACATGACACTTCTTGAGCAAGCATCTTCTTCATCACAAAACAAGTAGCAATGGAGGACTTGAGGTATCCAAATCAGGGTGCAGTCAGGACACATAGGAACAAATTTCAAAACGTGTAATCACTGGAGCATTTCTGACCATTAAAAATCGGAGAACTGAGTACAAAAGGTTCTTTCTTGGCATCACATTAATCTTGCTGACAAAGTACTTAAGAGTACTTAACTAAGCCATGTAATCCAATAAATCATATATAAAGAGTACTTTGCTATGTAATCCAATAAATCATATACAAGTATGGCTTTAAGATATACTTTTGGTGTCTCCATTCTCCGTATTTTTTCTGGTTCCTCAAAAAGATCTGAAAGGCCTATATCATAGCTATAACATTGTATTTGTCCCTGGAATATTCCAGCCATTGATGCACAATGAAGTGAGTGGAAACAAAAAGGTGCAACAAGACAGGCAGCATGCACAAGACACTGGTAGTCACATGCTTAACAAACATCCTCAGTATAAGCTAAAGCCAGAAGGCAAGAATGTTAGAATACCTTCTCTTGATTAAAACACTCAACTTCTAATTTAGATATATACTTTGCTTTTATCAATGAGATTAACATATCATATATAAACTGATTCTTTTCAGACCCATATAATCTCATTTGAACTAAAATAATATAAAAACACATTGATACAATAATTGTCAATAAGGTAAACTAGACAGAAAGCAAGACAAACAGACAAACAGAAGTCGGATAGCAAAGAAGTAAAGCCTACAAGTGACTCTTTAATTGGAGAGATTGCAAATGTTTTATGTCCCCACTGACACAATTTATACCGTTTAAGAGGCAGACACCTACCTGAAGTGTCCACAAACCGCCAAAAATACAATTTCTTTACCTTTACACTAGAAACACAATGAGTATGTGCCATATCCAGAAGAAATATCCTACAATACTAATGTAGTCATGGAAGACATAATTTATCAAGTTAAAGAACTCCCAAAACTGAGCTGAAAAATCCAAAAGAAAACTTTTACCCCAATATTATTTTGAGAGACATTCACCAGTTAGTAAAACCAAAAAGAAAACCTATTCCTCAATGTGATGCCAAGAGACATTTAAAAGGTTGTGAATTAGATTTCTCTAAAAAAAAAAAGAAGCTTAACCTCAGTGTGATGCCAAGAGATTTTCATGAGGCTAAGAAATTAGATTTAACAAAAAAGAGAAATTAGAAACTATCCGCTAGTGCGGTGCCTTACGTCCAATTTCCTCAGCTCTGCTATGTGCAGGGAGAGGAGCTGCATGGGAATGACAGTGAGAATGCCCTGAAGACAGTCAATGGTCTCAGGTACTTCGATGAAGTTGTTGACCTGAGACTGGGTCTCTGTGTCGCCTGCATTGCAGATCAACAACGGTTCGCCCTAAAACATGAGATAGATTTTACGGTTAAGGCAAGGAAAAAGAAGTTGAGATGAGACAGACATGAAAGGATAACAATAAATTTTAATTTAGTTCCAGAACAAGAATAAAATTTTATGATAAGGTGAGAGAAGTTTTAGGCAGAAATGGTAAGATAAAATTAAATTCTACATTACCTGGTAGACTTTATGGTAAAATAAGGTAAGAGAAGCTGAGATAAGACAAGACAAGAAAAAATTTGATTTCCTTCTGGCACAAGAGGTAGATTGTATAATAAGATAAGGTAAGATGAGATTAAGCAATACAACACTGGATTAATGTCAAATTTAAATCTAGACTAGGATGTAAAGTTTATTAGACAGGAAAAGATAACATTTGAAAAGGTAAAACTAGACGACGAAAATGTAATTTTTTTCCAGCTTTTCGTTGCTCTCTTCTATCTAAACTTAAAAGTGTAAGGCCCTTTATCCACAATGTTGCATTTCAATGGGCATAAAATTAAGGAAAAGGGGGGACGTTCTTCATCACAAACTTTACTTATTCTCTAACACAACTGACTGCAAATTCATGGCAAGAATTATATAATTGACATGTACCCTTTTTTGTCAAATATGTTTAAAAACTTAAAATTTTGTAAAATAACTGAATAACTGAAGGCACGGATCAGTGGCAATGTATTTTGAACGGGTAAGAAAGCATGGTTTCAAACAGTGGATCTGCAGCATGCTTAAAGGGCAAGGGAGTTACTCAAAATCATCTAAATAACTTAAAACCTGCAGAATACACCACACGCAAGTTAGTGCTGATCAAACACAGCATACATCAAATACCTCTTATGGTCATGCAAGCCATGATGAGGCTTGATATTAATAAAGGAGCAAAAAACTGTATTTTTCCAAAACCACAACTTTTAAACTTTATCTTATGGGGACAATTGTACAATTCAAATGTTATTCTCACCTGTCAAAAGAGAACTCTTTCTGAACCTCACAAAACATCAATTTATTAAGGTAATCACTCTAAAGAGAGAAAAAATTAGTAAACAGAAAGAAGAAAAAAAATCTAAACATAGAAAACATGAATATTTACTAAACCCTCTCTTGATAAGTGTAAATCTAAATGAGACCTGAGCACAATATTACAAGCAAACCATACAAACCCATGTGTCAGATATCAAAGGTGAATCAATACCACCTTAAAAAAAGCTTTACTCCAAATACTACCGTCAAAATGTAGAAAATGTGCCACATTTGCAACTGGATACTTGTGCACTATAAACCCCTGTCTGAAAATATTTCTCACTGGATTTTATTGTGGAGGGAGAAAGAAGAGCCATTACCAGGAAGGCTGCTTTTAATATTCATGGAATAATTTCATACCATTATCTGTTAATCGAACACTCAATCTCAATTTTCCCCTTGGTAAGTTCTTTATAAAAGTTACCAAGCACACCCCTAGAGCTCAAGTTAATTACCATTATTAAGCGGTTCAGTAATGGCCTTGTGATTACTCAAAATAATTCCAATTCTGATGCAGACTTTTCTTCCATGAAGACCTATACGGATTTACCATCATGTCATAACTCACATAGGCACTAGTTAAACACATCTAAAGTGGAAACTTACATGCCGAGCTTTGACTTGCTCCAGAGCATTGACGCATTTCTGAAAGACAAGGAAAGACATCAACAGCATTAGCAAACACAGGTAAGGGACGAGAAGGTTATATGAGGGTCATATCTACAACTCAATTCTCTCTTCACTTGGTTACTCTAAGTGGACAATGGGAGCATCCAGTGAAACTGGCATGGACCACGAGTGGACGGTCCTAGTGTCCCATCAGATCACAGACTGCATAAAGTATTACTGAGAATGCCATCTCTTACCAATCTGAGTATGTTTATTTTGACCCAGCATTGTTAGATAAACATATAAACTACTTTCTCTTTCCCTTTGACACAGCTTTAGCCATTTTATAGACATTGTTTGGGCATACCATGCTACGTATTTCATGCGATTTGGAAAAAAAAATTGCATCAAAACCTGGAAAATAACTCCATGGTTGAAATGTTAAATTCCACTCACTCTTCAGAGTTCAAAGCTCTCTGTTCAAACAAAGAATATCTCTACTACTTCTCATCACTTTTTGAAATGTCGCTTTGCCTTTCAGTAGTGCTCATTATCTCCAGAACTTCAAGCATAAAAAAGATTACAAAATGGGATAACATATCCCACATGAATGCTGCTAAAATGTAAATAACTGAATCTCAGTCCAGCTTTCACTTTTTAGTTTAAATATGTACCCCTTTCCACAAAAAGTCACAAATAAATCCTGCTGAAATCTGTCACTTTTGCATCCCAGTTCTGCATTCACTATCTAATTATAACATGAACGCCTTTCAACAAAAAGTCACTCCTCTCTCTCTCTCCCTTGCCCTTTTTAACTCCCAGTGGAGCATAGGCCATCAACAACATTTCTCCATGAAGCCTGCCCTGTGCATACTTTTCTAGCTGTTTCCATAATGTCCCCGCCTTTTCCATTTCTGCTTGTACCGCTCGCCTCTATGTCATCTTTGGTCTTCCTTTCTTACGTTTTCCTTGTGAATTCCATGTCAAAGTCTGTCTGATGATGCTTGTCGGGGGTCTCCTCAGGGTGTGCCCAATCCATTTCCATTTCTTCACCTGTATGTCTTCCGTTACTGGCTTTTGGCTTGTTCTTTCCCACAGTTGAGCATTTGTGACTCGATCGTGCCACTTGATCCCCACTATCCTTCTTAGGCATCCATTTATGAAGCTCTGCAGTTTCCTTGAAGCTGATGCTGTGAGCCTCCATGTCTCTGAACCACACAGTAGAACAGTGTTCACGTTTGTTTTGAAGATCCTCAGCTTGGTGTTTAATCCCAGTTCCTTTCACATCCAAAAAGTCACTCCACTTCACAAAAATCCTTTGGCTTGTTAATTCATTTTTTGGTAACCTCTCAGTCTCTACAGAGACACACAGTGCAAACATCAATTACAAACCACAAATACATATTCGCATTTACTACTCACAAATCTTGTCTTCACCCAAAGTGCATAATCTAGTGTTTCCCTACCCAGTGACTTACCGTAAACACCTTGTCCCTCGTGCACACCATGAGTACAGGCATAGCCTTGTCCACTAGAGCCAGGGGGCCATGTTTGAGCTCGCCTGCCAGGATGCCTTCCGAATGCATGTATGTCAACTCTTTGATTTTCTGTTGGTACACAGACAAGGGGAATGACAGAGGTGAAAGGAA